CTCTTAGCAACTTCGTGGCCTCCTCTGGACTTGCTCCAACAGTTCCATGTCCTTCTTATGTTTAGGACAACAGAACTGTGTACGGTATTCCAGGTGGGGTCTCATGAAAGCAGAGTAGAATCACCTCTTTTGACCTGCTGCCCACACTCCTTTGGATGCAGCCCAGGATTCCATTGGCTCTCTGGGCTGAGCTCACACTGCAGCTCATGCTGAGCTTCTCATCCACTGTCACTCCCAAGTCTTTCTCCTCACTGCTGGTCTCAATTCCTTCCCCACCCAGCCTGTAGCTGTGCCTGGGATTGCCATGGCCCAGATGTAGGACTTCGTGCTTCATTTTGTTGAATTTCATGAGGTTTGCATTGTTCACCTCTCAGACCTGTCAAGGTCCCTCTGGGTGTCCCTTCCCTTCCCTCCAGCTGTGACTGCCCCCTGTTCATACTTGTCATGAAGGTTTCTGTTCCAGATGCCTAGATATTTCCAGTTTTGGAGTTCAAATCTATAGAAGACAAGATAGAAAAATACTCTTGTCTACTGATCAGGTGTGTTTTATATCTGCTGAAGAAAGTTTAGTTCCTCTAGTCATGCATGTGCATGATTAGGAATCCCTTCCCTCCAGCTGTGACTGCCCCCTGTTCATACTTGTCATGAAGGTTTCTGTTCCAGATGCCTAGATATTTCCAGTTTTGGAGTTCAAATCTATAGAAGACAAGATAGAAAAATACTCTTGTCTACTGATCAGGTGTGTTTTATATCTGCTGAAGAAAGTTTAGTTCCTCTAGTCATGCATGTGCATGATTAGGAATAAATTTAACCATATAGAATCACACAGAATGGTGAGTTTTACCTGCAAACTCCTTTTTCTGGGACCACAAATTCTGCAGGTGGGTAGTTTTTTGTTATAATGTATCAAAATAACTGAGCTCTGGTTGTAAAAATAGTCCTTTATTTTCATGGCAAATTAACTTTGAGCTGAAAATGTGAATAAAACTTGTCAATTCAAGCTGGTATTTGCTTAATTGGCACAATGTAGTGGTAAGTAATTGGCTGTGGTTGGATGAGGAAAGAGCAAGGTGATAATACTTTCATGCTGCTGACAGTAATCTTATCAAACAATGCTGTGTTGATAAGCATCAACAGCAGTTGTGGTAAGGGAAAACTTGTCCTGCCATGTCAGTGGTGTATTTCTGCCTAGGACAAATGTGAAATACAGGTTAGTCTCTGGTTGGATCTCCAAAAACTCAGTAGACTGTACTGGTGTGATCAATATTAACTTGGCAAAATTGTGTCCATGGCTATTTCTAATTATACCATTATCCCAATTTTTTGCAGGTGGGGAGGTCAACAGAGAGCCCCATAGACTTTGTAGTGACAGATACTATTTCTGGAACTCAAAACAATGACGAAGCTCAGATTACCCAGAGCACCATATCCAGATTTGCCTGCAGGATTGTTTGTGACAGGAGCCCCCCATACACAGCAAGGATCTTTGCAGCTGGTTTTGACTCCTCTAAAAACATATTTCTTGGTGTAAGTACCACTAATAATTATGGTATGAGCAAGCTCTGGTTTTTATTCTGTTCTGTGCAAGCCCCAAAATCTCCTGTACTAGTTGATGACTTACACTGTCATTAGGCTTTTATTACTGCAGTGTACCAGCTGCAGTGTTAAGTAGAAACTGTTTTATGTGCCTGAGTTAGTACCAGCAGAGACTTGTGGTCATAATTGTCTTTTAACAATGAAGCTCCACTTTAGTAACTGTTAGTGGATTTCCTTTAGGTTGGTTTGATATATTCCTGATAATCACTGTGACTGTCATATGTAGGAAAAAGCAGCAAAGTGGAAAAATCCTGATGGCCACATGGATGGATTGACAACTAATGGGGTGCTGGTCATGCATCCAAAAGGAGGGTTCACAGAGGAGTCTAAACCTGGAGTCTGGCGCGAGATCTCGGTCTGTGGTGATGTGTACACTCTGCGGGAGACCAGATCTGCTCAGCAGAGGGGGAAACTGGTAAGTTGGAAGTAACTGGGAATTAAAACAAGGGATACTTGTTTTCCTGGCATTGAATGGAGGCAGTTACCTGGCAGGCACTTGGAGGCAGGTGACTGCAGAGTAATGTTGCTGTCCCTGTGCACTGAAATCACCGAAATATCTGTGTGTTACATTAGATTCTGCACTGCTGTTCTGTTTCTGATTATACAGGAGAACACTAAATTTTCTGCTAACACCACTTTGCCAACTGAAATCACAGAGCGTGAAAGCTAAATACATTCTGCTCTTGAATCTCCATCTCTGAAACATTCTCCTGGGACATGGGGATGTCTGGAGGTTACTGCATAGGGAATTGTCTTTTGCAGTACTCAAGAGTCCACTTGGATGCAAAAGCTGCTGGATAACACACCTTCTGTTGGATTTACCTGCCGCTAGGAGGATAAGAAGCCCTGAAAGTATATTCCTGTTTTATGCTGTGAAGCAAGATGGGCTTTGCCTTTACTGGTAGTGGGAAATTTCAGCTGCCAGAGATAGGCATAATCAGGAGAGAGGCTCCCCTGAAAGCATCTGTCCACTTCTCCATGGAAGATGGGAGGGAATTCTCATAGCTCCTTTGTTCTTTCCCCATCCCAAAGCCTACAAAGGGGAATGCTATCACTGCTCATTCCTTTTCCTTCTGCCCTTAACGGGAAAGAATAAAATGCAATTAAACAGCACCACATAGACAGGGTAAAGGAGCATCCTATTCTTTGTGCCAAAGTTAATTCTGGGCTACTACCATGAGTTCCATTAGCTCAATGGTGTTAGACCTGTCCCACGGACACTAAACTGTCTTTCCAACTCAGCCATTAGCTTTGCAGAAAGCTGAGTGCTTAAGGAGTTAGGAAATGGAGTTGGACTGTTCAGCTTCCAGCAGACAGCCTGCAGGACATAAATTGCTTTGTCACTTTAACGGCAGCAGCAAACGTGTCCTGGGGACAGGGACAGATGATGTGGCAATTGCACCCTTTGGACATGGTTAGCAAAGCACCTTTTTAGTGCTGCTAAAGGAAGGCACAGTAAAACAAATGAATTGCCTTCCCTGCATCCAAAATGGCTTGAATTCTCATTTAAATAAAATTACATGGCACGCTGGTATTGATGTGATCAGTATTCCTTGATTGGGTTCATAAAAGCCAACGCAGGCTGTGTAATGAATTGAGCACATCACATGTGAGAGAGCTGTTTGCTTTGTTGTTTGTGGAGGAATTATCTGAAAAGTGCATCAAATGAAGGCATCTCTCAGCTCTATTTGAACCACTGCATTTTTCTGCTGGAAGTACTTTGCTCCGGTGACCTCTTATCGGTGGTTATTGAGGTGTTTTGGGCAAGGATGAGCCACAGTTAAACTGAATTTAGACTAGATTTAAATGTAAATGCCAAATTGGTTGTCATTCATAGTATTCTTAGGCAAACATGATGAATTCATGTGACCTACTTAATGCATTTGTTTGTGTTTGGCTATTTGTTTTGCTTTAGTGGTAATTTCTACCTACTTTATATATAAAACCAGGCAGTAGGTTTGTTTTCCTCTTGCATTTCATAAAGAACCTTTTTAGCATAGATTCATCATTACTGACCTGGTAGCAAAAGCACAAGTTGCTTATATGTTTGTGCCATTAAAATAAAGAATGTGTCAGTGAAGTACAATGTGTGTTTGACATAATCCCTTGAAAATGTTTTAAGTACCTGCATTTAATCAGATGAGAGAAGCCTTTAGGCAGTGCACACTGGGGCTGTATTTGCCTGGAATACCTCAGTAAATAAAGGGCCTCACTGGTTGGGGTGGGTAATTGTTCACAAGTTGAGCCTCTGTGGCTTCAGTTGCAGAATTTGTCACTTGAGAAATTCAACTGGTGCTTCAGTGTGCTGCAGTGATGATCCATGCAGGTACCTGTGCATGTGCCTGTGGAAGAGTTTCCCTGTTGATGAGGCTTTGGGAGTTTGAGCTCCTGCAAAATGCTTTACTCTTGCCACAAGCAAAAAAAAAAAAAACAAAAAAAAAAACCCCTGAAAAAACCCAACAAAAAAACAAAAAAAAAAAACCCACAAAGGTTCTATCTGAGTGGCAGGACAGCTGGTTTGTCCTTGGTAACAGGTTTTACTCCAGAATTGATCTTTGCCTGCATGAGCATCTTCTGTCAGTCTATGTGGGCAAAGAATTCCAAGGGAGAATCTTCTAATGCAGCCCTTAGGGAATGGCAAGTCTCCTCTTCAGTCTGTCATGGCTTAGTTGAAATAGGCACAGAGATAATCACTATTAGAGAGGAAAAGTACATGCTCAGGGGTAGGTGGTGTTTGTGAAGTTAGTGTTGACTAATGTAATACCTTTCCCAAGGAATTGCAGGCAGGAAGACTGGGTGTAATAATTAGTATTGCAGTTGGAAATGCAAGCATAGAATAAGAATCATAGAATCAGCCGGGTTGGAAGAGACCTCAAAGGTCATTGAGTCCAACCCTACTGTGGTTATTAGACCGTGGCACTAAGTGCCACTTCCAGTCAAGACATCAGTGCTTATGATAATGTCAAGTATAGGTAACAGATGAGGTGGATTCAGGCAGATTGGGGAGCCACAAGGCAACAGTGGGACCAAATTATCACAGTGTTAATCAGATTGGAAAAGACCTCTGAGATCAAGTCCAACCTGTGACCTAACACCTCCATGTCAACTAGACCGTGGCACTAAGTGCCACGTCCAGTCTGTCCTTAAACACCTCCAGGCATGGTGACTCCACCACCTCCCTGGGCAGTCTGTTCCAAAGCAAGTACCATCTAGGAAAGGTGTTGCTTTGGTGAGAGAGATGTTTGCAGAACTGACTTGGCTGTCTGTCAAAGCTCTCAGGCTGATCTTCCTGCTCTTGTATCCTCCCACCAGGTGGAAAATGAGACCAACATCCTCCAAGATGGTTCTCTGATCGACCTGTGTGGGGCCACCCTCCTGTGGAGAACAGCAGATGGACTATTGCACACCCCAACTCAGAAGCACATCGAAGCTCTGCGGCAGGAGATCAATGCTGCCAGACCACAGTGTCCCGTGGGGCTAAACACTTTGGCTTTTCCCAGCATCAACCGGAAAGATGTGGTGGAAGAGAAGCAGCCTTGGGCCTACCTCAGCTGTGGCCACGTCCATGGCTATCACAACTGGGGACACCGCAGTGACACGGAAGCCAACGAGCGGGAATGTCCCATGTGCAGAACCGTTGGCCCCTACGTGCCGCTCTGGCTGGGCTGTGAGGCAGGTTTCTACGTGGATGCTGGGCCCCCCACTCATGCTTTCACCCCCTGTGGACACGTGTGCTCCGAAAAGTCTGCAAAGTACTGGTCTCAGATCCCTCTGCCTCATGGCACTCATGCATTTCATGCTGCCTGTCCCTTCTGCGCCACACAGCTCTCTGGAGAGCACAACTGCATCAAGCTGATCTTCCAGGGGCCAATCGACTGATCTTACTTTGCAGTGACCACAATAAAAGTTTTCTTGAATGATTTACTGTGAAGATTTTTGCCACTAACTCTCTCTAGATTTGACCTTTTTTTATAATGTTATTAATAGGGTGGTAAGGGTGGGGATGGGGAACTGCTGAGGCGATTGAGGGACTGTGGTGGAGTTGGGATACACTGATACCTGGAACTTGACAGATATCAGTGGTGTTTGCATGCTCAAAAGCAGCATATTCATGAAGTCTTCTTGGTCAAATTGTAGTATATTTGTAATCTTTTTATTGGTACCCTGGGTAAGACAAAGGTGTCTTAAATGATTTTTTTAAGCTAAGATTTTTTAATGGAAAGGTTTTTTCTTCTAAACTTTGACAAGCCTTTAAAACCTATTTTTCAAATCTAGAAGGAACATACAGAATGTAACTGTCTTTAATTTGCAATATAATTTAACTTGAATAGTTTCTCAAGGAGCTAATGCAGAATGTGTGGACAACCATAGGTGAATGTTCACTAGAGATAATTGGATATGTAAGAGAAAAATTAGCTGCCTAAAGTGTAGAGGATAAAAGCTATTAAAATATCTATTATGGTATAACACAGCTGGCCAAAAAGGCATCAAAGATTACTTGAAACTGAGGAAATCCTGTTTGCATTGATTTCCTTTCAGTGTAATAGTTATCCACTGGCCATTAGGTATGGTAGATGGCTGATTTTTTTTGTTTAATTTCTTTTACTTTTCCCATTTAACTTGCATTTGGTGAAACCACTTTACTCTTTTGCATACTTAGTTCTGGGGTTTAAGCCAATGTGTAGTTTGGCCTTTTTATTTCTGTTTCACTTAGGTTCTCCTACCTGTTCCTTGCACACCCAAGACCTCTGGGTGAGCTGAGGTCATGGAATCATAGAATCCCAGAGTGGTTTGGGTTGGAAGGGACTTTAAAGATCACCTAGTTCCAACCCCTGTCAGCGGCAGAGACACCTTCCACCAGCCCAGGTTGTTCCAAGCCCCATCCAACCTGGCCTGGAACACTCCCAGGGATGGAGCAGCCACAGCTTCTCTGGGCAACCTGAGCAGCCAGAGCTGTAGCCAAGCTTGGCAAACAGCAGTGCTGAAGATGTGGTGCTACAGCACCACACAAGGTTTAGGTACAGTTAGCCAGAACTCCCTCCCATCAGCCTGAGTTCAGGAAAGGACTTAGGCTGTGTTTAATACGAACCCACAGCTGGGACTGTTTAGCTTCTCAAGTGCTTTAATGCATTGTGTTATTTGCTGTTATGTTTTGAAATCAAACAGCAATTGAAGTTACTTTTTAAGCCCCAGTGCTGTAAGGAGAGCAGTGTTTCCAGTTCAGCTGAGCATTTCTGTTCACTTTTCAACTTGCTGCCATCTGTCACCTCCTTTTTGTTTGCAGATTGACTTCTGTTTGTACCTTTTTTTTCTTTCCAAATGTTTGCAAATCAAACATCATTCAAATGTAATCAAATATATGAACCAGGGTGGTACATCTGAAGTGGATCACTTGAAATTCCTGACTTTTTAAGAGAGCTGATACATGTTTACTGTGGAAATAATTAAATCAGAATCTCCTCTGAGGTGTACTCTGCCCACTGTTAGCTTCATTTCATACAGAGTGATCACTCTAATTTGTGGTTTTTCCCTTTTTCCTTATGCTTTCTGTACTCTTGGTATCTGAGGTATCAATCTATCCAGGTTTAAAAAAAGAATTTGGGATAAATTTCTAACATCTCTAGGTGAAAATGATCATTCAAGCTCAGTTCTGTTGAATCAACTATAGCTTTTTTGCTATATTTGTGCCCTTTGTATAAATACATAATTTATATGATTTTAATATATTCTGTATATATATATACTTGAATTGGCCTGTTCATATTTTGGTTGTAAAATTGTTTTATAGTTAACCTTATAAACATTTTACATGTCCCTTGCCAGTGGTGATGGGATGGACTTTGTCTGCTGCTGTTTTTAGTATGATTTTGCTGTATAAATGGTCAGCATTTTAATAATTTGATAATAGCTTTACTTTTCTTTTTAATGCTTTTGCTGTTGAAAAATATAATTCTGCAGCATTTTTTTTTCTAAAAGTCCCAAACTGTACAGTTTTTGTCCCACTCAGTGATTTGAGATAGGATGAATCTTGTTAACCTAACACTATATGCTTCTTCCTAGTGCCTTTTCAATGAGATCCTCTTGTGATTCTGTATTCAAAGTCCTTACTCCCACAAGACAACCTTGTGGCTAATCTTCAGCAAGAGAGCAGCCCAAGCAGATTGGGAAGAAATGCCTTTGCCCTCAATTCCTTGTCATGGCTCCATCCTGGATGTGAAGGTGCCTCCTCCTCGTTCCTCTGAGCACAGGTTCCTCAGGTCCCACGTGCACACTGCAGCATTACTCCTGTTTAGCATATACCTCATGAGGGAGAGGCAACCTCACCTCACCTCCTCCCTCTTGGACTCTGAAATGCTTCACTTTATTCCTCACGAGTCAACACACTTTCAGGACTTGTTCCTTGCTGAGTTCAGGCCAGGAGCTGTGTGCTGAGCCTGGTGGCCAGAGCTGCTGAGCTCTGCCAGTGGCACTCCCCAGCTCTGGCTGGCAGCTGTGTGGCTGAGCTGGTGGGGATGTGCTCCCTCTGAGCCTGAGTGGATTGTAAACACAGCAGCTCCCAGGCTCCCACCCCAGTTACTGAGCTGCTTTACTCTTGTCCTTCGCTGTTGCAGTTTAATTGCTGCTTCAGGGCTTCATAGAGCTGTACCCTGTGGAAGGTGAATGTACAGTGTTGGAAGAATCCTCACTGGAAAGACTAGCACACCATCAGGCTGTGGTGAAGCAGAGCACTGGATAGTGGTTTGTATCCAAGGGAAGTGTCTGTTTGAAACTGTTTAAACAAAGAGTTTTTTCTTTCACTGTTGGGAGTTTCGTGTAACACAGGAAACACTGCAGGAAGGAAAACTCTCAGACTCACAGAATGGGCAAGGCTGGAAGGGACCACAGTGTGTCATCTGGTCCTACGTCCCTGCTCAAGCAGGTCATCCTAGAGCACGTGGCACAGGATTGTGGCCAGACAGTTCTTGAATGTCTCTAGTGAAGGAGAATCCATGACCTCTCTGGACAATCTGTTCAGTGCTCAGTGACTACACAGGAAAGAAGTTCTTCCTGTGCATCAGTTCCTGCCTGTTGCCTCTTCTCCTGTTGCTTGGCACCACAGAGCAGAGCCTGGTCTGTCACCTCCTCTCCAGTGAGGGAGACTCCACATCCTCTCTGGGCAATCTGTTCCAGTGCTCAGTCACTGCATAGTAAAGAAGTTCTTCCTCATGTTCAGGCGGAACTTCCTGTGCATCAGTTTCTGCCTGTTGTCTCTTGTCCTGCTGCTGGGCACCATGGAGCAAAGTCTGATCCCTGTCACGTCACCTCCTTGCAGATACTGACAGACATTGATGAGGTCCCTCTCAGCCATCTCTTCTCAAGGCTGAACAGGTCCAACTAGCCTTTCCTTGTAACAGAGATGCTCCCAGTCCCTTTATCATCTCCATAGCTCTCTACTGGAGGAGCTCCATGGAGCTCCACTTCTCTCTTGTCCTGAGGAGCCCAGAATTGGACACAGCACTGCAGCTGAGGCCTCACTAGGGCAGAGTAGGATGCAGGATTCTTGGCTGGGAGGCAATCTTCCATGGTTTGCATGGCATCTAGGGACTTTGCCTTTAACCCAACCTAGGGTGAGTGCCCACAGAGCTGCATTTACTGGGGAGGCAGAAGAGTCTGTAGTATTATTTTCTCAACCTCTCTTACCATGTGTTGTGTTCCATGATGGACTGTTTGGCTGTTAGCCCTCACCTTCCCTGGTCTCCATAAATACCTCCTCTGCTTTGGTAACTTGGTAGGAGAAAGTAATTTGTGGATAAATAAGATTGGAGTGAGTAAAGAAGAACCACCCTCAAACTTTGTTTAAAAAGTTTATTTCATGCTTTCAGTGTTAGTGTTCCTTGCATACTATTTCCAGTGCTGGCAATGTATTCCATAAGGATTTTTTTTCACCTGTTACTGTTGATGCTATTCGAATGCTTCAAAACCAGCTTTGACTGCATAATTTAGAGCTAAAAGTATTTTTCTAGTCTGATCTTTTTTAAAAATATATATATCTGTTATATCCATGCACACTGGAGCTGGAACACTTCCTTTTTTCCTGGCAGCTTGTTGGTAGAGCACTGAAGTCTGAATAGACAACTGAGCAATGAGCCTCGTTCTTCCTGGGAATTGTGGTCCAGTTGTACAGAGTAAAACTGTGTTTTAATCACCTTTTTTTTTTTTTTAAAGTGTTGTCACTTTTTGCATCAGAATACAGTGGTGGTACTGTACAGGCTGAGTAATTAAAGGAGGGTTTTAGTTTTGTTCATTTTGTGGGTGGGAATGGGGATTGGAAGAGACAAAAGGCATTGTCAGGCTGGTTCAAGCCAAGGCATGCCAGGAACTGGTCAGAAACATGATTGGAACTGTTCCTGCTTTCAGACCTCATCCGTGCTCTGAAAAGGATTCTCCTCAGTTTGTTAGGAAGCTCTGGAGTGCTATGGAAAAGCTGTGATCTTCCTAGCAAAACACTCTATGGTGTTCTAATGGCAGTTCCTGGAATTTGAGGGTTTGGCTTCTGAGCCAGAGTGAAGAGCAGAGGTGCTGAGTGTGTCATAGCAACAAACTGGAATAGTCTCTGACAGAACTTGAAATCTAAGTGCTCACACCAACCAAAGGAAATCTGGTTTCAGCTGTGGTGACTCTCTTTAGTGCTGTTGTGGTAGCTCATTGCTTCCTCACCAAGTTCTTCTGGAACTGGAAGGAAACTAGTCCAAGACCATCATGTGTCTGTTCATCCAGCTCATCATCTTGACATTTTCATGGGGTTGGAGAACCATTGGTAGGGATATAGCCATGGTGAGGGCTGATAGGGGCGTTTAGACACATTTTTAGGACCTGGCTGAGCTCCTCCTGCTTAAAGCTGAGCTGCCAATCATAGAATCCCAGAAGGGTTTGGGTTAGAAGGAACTTAATGATCATCTAGTTCCAATCCCTCAAATTCTGAAATGAGCTGTCCTTGTCTGTTTGTTATAAAGGAAGGATCTGTAATGGGTGACTAAGCCTAGTTTTCCCAGAGACTGTTGTTAACATGCCACCTTGGATGCAAAGTGGATCCATAGGTAGAGCTGTTACTGGAGCAGGTGGGAGCAGAATCCTGTTAGGTGCTTGGGCCAAATTGATGTGGACATCTCTGCTGTTCTGCAGTGTTCTGGCCAAGGATTCCTCCTCGTTTCCTCAGTTTTCAGCCTCTTGTGGGTTCTTGGCTCCTCTCATTTTCTATTTATCCATGTAGTTGCAGGTAAACAAGTAAATACAGCTTGGAAGGAAAACAAACAAGGAAGAGAACGGCAAAGATCCCTTCAGGCTTGCTTAGCTGTTCAAGGCAATTTTAAACTGGAGTTGTGTCTTTGACAGATTTTTCTCATTACTCTGATTTTTTTCTAAGCACTCTTCACACCTCTGCACACTTGGTGTTGTGACTAAAAGGACAAACTTAGAAGGTAAGGCTGGTTTTTGGGGGGTGGGGGGTGGACAGGGGGTAGTTTCTAGGATGGAGTCACAGTGGTTCTGCAAACTGTGTCCCTCTGACTGCAGCAGACACTTGGGTCTGGAAGAACAGTAGTCACCCTCAAGAGGCAGTAAAGTTGGAGCTGCAATTTCTCTGCTGGTCAGTGTTTGTTTGTTGGCAGCAGAACAAACACACAGGTTGCTTGGACACCCGAACTCCAAGCAAAACCAGTGGCTGCAGAGATATCCTTCCTTGGGGCATATTTATCCTTTCCTGGTGGGCAAACCA